CTCAACACTACTTATTATAATTATTCTTCTGTTTTGCAGCAGAAAGATGCTTTTTAGGATTGTGTCAGTATGATCGTACAGAAAAGTGTTTGAAGAAGTATTTATTTTGAGCAAAACATTCAGGTGTATGCTAAGATTGAGGCTTAAAAATTTTGTGAACATTCATTTTTATTATAAATGACCAATTGCGTAACAGTCCAATTATGAAAAATTTGTTTTCCATTTATACAATAAAATATATAAATTAATTTCATTATAAAAAATTTACGCAATGATATTCTAATGGAACTTTAAGACTACAGCGGTTAAACAAATCTTCATGCTTTATATATATATATATATATAATATAATATTACTATTATGTATACTGTTCATATTCTGAATATATATACTTTTACCCTCGTTTGTCAAAGCTATTAACATTTAAGAAGCACGTTTTTCATTTCTTATTAATATATCACTTAGACTAACAATGTAATAGTTTACAAAATTTTGGTCGCATCGTACATTCATATTTTACAAATATCAAGTTTTGTATTAATAATGCCCTTCCATGGCACACTTTCTTTTATATAACATCTTTATTGAGACATCCAGTCAAATTGACGTTGGACAATTTTTGACAATGCCAAATATAGTATTTAAATAAAATAAAATTTTCTTAGGTCAAAATTCCTTATTGAATAATCAAATATCTTAAAATATGTGTACATACTAATAAATTACACAGATCAGTTCAAAAATTTAATTAACAAATTATGACCAAGTGAAATCACTTCATTTTATAATATAAAAGTAAAAAATTTCTAATTATTATTCGATTCATAAGAATTTATATATAAGAGTAAAAAATTTCTGATCATTATTATTCAATTCATAAGAATACAATGAATATAAACAATTGATCTGAATTGTAAGTGGTTTTATGATTTTTTAATTAAAATTGATAAAAAACTTGAACTTTTAAAAGAAATAACGAAATTTGAAAATTTCTAATAATTAAAATACCTTTTTTAGTAAAAATAAAAGTATTGTTTTCATTTCAATATAATTTGTAACATTCAACAAAAAATTAATTTTGTAGATTTTATTAGTTATAAATCAGATGGCGTACTATCGATTATACATATTTTAACTATTTAAACAGGAGAACTTTATATCATTAATTCAACATAGTTAAAAATTTAAATAATTTGAAATGATTTAAACTAGATCAAAAAATTGTAGGTTATGTGTTTTTAAGATGATACAAATTTTCTGAATAACAGTTAAAATTCATAGACTTGATACACGCTTATGTGTAATCTAATATTTTATTTATCATATATTATTTCAGTTTTGATGTTAAAATATAGAATACGCATCTTTTTAGTGTTCATTATTTTATGCATTAGAATATATAAAAACCGTTACGTTACTATCGAACTTCTTTAAAATAAAAATAATGAAATATTTTATAAAATATTACAAATGAAATTAAGATTTTTAAAATTACTTTTAATTACAAGTACACTGGAACGCTGATTATGCGGACAACTCGGGTTTGTATCCCAATAATCTGGACAGGTGACCTTGATGAAAAAAAAATTAGAAACAACTGCTCCATTCTCTCTATGCTCCGCTAGAGCTACCTTTTAAGCAACGTTGCATTGTAAAAACATGTTATTAAAAAATTAGAAAGTAAAATTTTAAAATTACATAATTTTAACGATTTCGGTCTTTTGCAACAATTTAATTTACAAATATTCATATGAATATTAGTGATACAATAATCTTCAACTTTCAAGCATATAAATTGGTAGGAATTGATTAAAAATATGCCGAAAATTAAAATAAAATTTCTACAACGTGGGGCCATTCAAGTATTACAAACGCCCTCCCCTTTTTCTAAAAAATATACTTCAAAATACTAAAAAATACAAAAATTCCTTTAAGAATAAATATTTATTTTCAAGTACATCACAGACATTTAAAAAAATTAAAAATAAGTTTAAAAATTTTTTCCCGAAACTGTTTTCTTAATTTTAGATTACAGTTCTTGTATCTTATTTAATAATTTTCAGCATTATGAATAATGTGCATCAATAATTTATAGTTATCTTTTTCTTTAACTTTAAGAAGAAACATCGTTTCCGACTACTTCCGCTTATACCCTAGTTTTTAATCTATTTTTGCATAAAAGGATTAACCAAAATTAAAATAATCTTACAAAAGATGCTTTGCTTTAGAAAATATAAGCAAATATCCGCTCCCCCCTCCCTGATCAATACTTATTTATTAAAACTTGAATGGTCCCCAAGATGAATAAAGAAGAATGAGTTTTTATAAAAGTTTATATAGTTATATAATGAAACGTTACTCTAATATAATGTTTTGTATTATTTTACAATTTTAGATATGTTTAGAAAGGCATGCTATTTTTCACATTCTATATAATGCACATTATTGAAATCAGAAAACTTGTCTCTACGAATACATTAAAGTCATTCTGGAAAATCTTTAAAATATGTGGATAAGTAAGTATGATCTAGAGTGTCTACTATTTTCGTTCAACAAAATTTCCGGTTATTTCCCGGCTTTATCCTTATTTTTCCTCGGTTTTTTTTCTCATCAAATTTAAATTTATTTGATTTCGAACATAAATTAAATCTACAAATAGCTTCAAAATTTTTTTAAAAGTTTTTATTAATAATTAAATTCTTTTGACGAGTTTCTTTAAATTTTTTTTAAATAATGTTTTTTTTAATAAGTTTAATTAAAAATTTGGAAAATAATTGATCTAAACAAAGAATTTTTTCAATTTTTTAAAATAATCTTGTATGTTCATAATTATAATCTTGAAAATTTAATAAATTCAATTTTATTAAAATGTATTGATACTATAATAATTGAATTTCTGCAAAGAATTTTACTACTTATAAAAGTAATTGAATCCTTCCAGAAAATATTATTATTTATGAAAATAATATAAATATTAAATTCTTTAAAAGAATTTAATTATTTTTAGTAGAATGTGAAGAAATTTTAATTATTTAAATTTTTTTTAATTATTTGTTTATAAAAATTCAATTATCTTGAAACAATAGAATGGAAAAATTTCAAAAATCTTATTTTTAAGAATTTTCAAAAAAACTTTGAGAAAATTCAATTTGATTAAAAAATTTCAAGTGTATATCTTTTTTTAAATTATAACTTATAAAAATTTTAATTATTAATTTTTGCACAAAGAAACTCTTTATAAAATTCAATTATTTATCAATTATTAAATTAAAATACTTTGAAAATTCGATTTGCTAAAAAGTTTTTAATGAAATTGTTTAACAAATTTAATTATTTTCAGTTGAATTTTACAAATTTTCTATTAATTCGATAATTCTTTTTTAATTTATTTACTAACTATATTTGAATCAGTGACTGATTTTTTACTATCAATGTAATTATTTTTAACTAATTGAAATTTAGAGAACAGTATAAATATCTATAAAAATTGAAATAAAAAGCGATTTATTTTTTAAAAACAAATTATTCCCTTTTTTCTCGAACAAATTAAATTCCCGGTTATTTCACGGATTTTTCGGTTAGTAGACACCCTGATGGTCTCACTCTTAAATAAGAAAAAATATCAGACTGTGATTTTAATGGATAATAAAGGTGATTATAGTAGAGTATGCTCTTTTCCTTATTTAAAAGCAATTTTGCTTTTAGACATTAAATCTTTGCTCTAATAGGCCAAGAAACAGCGCCAATTCGATTAGTGATCGCTGATTTAACTAGCAAAAAATACAAAAAATAAAAAATAAAATAAAAAAATAAAAAAAGAGCGTGCTTCACTTTATGCTCTTCCCTATAATTCAAACTTTTTGACCAAAATCATTTCTCACATAAGAGTGAAACATACTAAATAACATTTCCTCTCGAATGACCTTAATATTGATAAAATTAAAGACTTTAAATTTGTTTTACAATAAATACTTTAAAAGAACATAATTCATTGAAGTTTAAAACTTAATTTTTTTCACAATTTTGCTGGTAATTGAAGTTTTTGGCGTGTCACATACTGAAACTAACGTTGCTTTTCTGGAAAGTAAATCTCAGAAAATTTTCATTGTTTCTTCATTACAAAATTTTTTCTTCAATAAACAATTTTGTTTCTAATTTGTTTACAACTTACAGTAAATTTACCTTCACAGTCAATATAGTTACTCTGTAGTATCGAACTGACCATAGTAATTGAAAATCGTTTTTTGTTAGTTGTTTTATTCTTGAATTTTCAAATATTCATCATAACGCAATAATGTTCAGTAATATTATTAAACAAAAAAATACGTTTCCTATTTTTTAACATAAGAAATATTCTTCTAATTAAAATTGACATTGCAAAATCGCATGTACACATTATTATGTAGCACATAGTTTTTCATCAATAAGTTTTGATTTAAAATAATGATTGTGCTTATTATCCGTTCATTTAACAAATAATGTATATAGAAAAAGCTTTTTAAAAAAAAACATTTTTCCGTCAGTCTTTGTGATTCATTATTCTGAACTTTATTTTATATTTGTAGGTCCCTGGATTAAAGTGTAAGGAGTGTACATATTTTGGCGCGCACTGAGAAATTTTTTTTTTAATTCAAAAATAACGAGCCAACCAAAAATATGTTTGAATTAAACATATTTTATAATTGAATTAAACACCATGTTTATTAAATCAAATTTATTGTGTATTGAATCAAAATTATTATGTTTAATTCAAAAATAATGTTTGGTTGACTGCATAACAAAGATTTGATTCAATTATATTTTTTTCTCAGTGCAATCGAAAAATAAAAATATTTTTCTCAATGACAATATGCTCCGGTTGGATAATGTTTGTATTATCCATATTTCATAAAGTAACAATTCTGAAAAACCTTCAAAAAATTGTTTAATCAAGTCTGTTGAAATATGTTTTGTATGTCAGAATAAAAAACAAATAAATTTATTACACTACAATAGAATGGATGTGTTGACTTCGTTTTTGTATTATCAAAATATTTTTTAACAAAGAAGTTACGTTTCCTAACGATAACGACCAATAAACCTAAAGTGATTTCATCACTTCAGATCATCCATTGCTCCGTAATTTGCAAGAGATTTTTTTATTCTTAAGGCAGTTAGTCTTGCAGCAGCATTGTGATACCAACATTCTTTCATAACCTTCGACATCACTTGAAGAGCCTGAATACAAAAATTACAAAAAATCATAAGAACATGTGAAATTTTTAAAGCAAATTAATATCTTCAATGGTGCTTATACACCTCAACGTTTCTGAGTATATATTTAGAAACGAGGAACAGTTTACTTAATCTTTATTGACTTTTCCCATAGAGAACCTCCATACATTTCAATTTATCAAAAATTTAGGTGCTCATAGTAAATTTAAAAAAAATTTCTTTTTAAGTTTTTTTATTTAAAATTAATAAAATCTCTATACATACTTCGAAACGGAGAGGTATACAACCATTAAAACTTCTATACATATTAAACTCTTTATCTTTGACGACTCCCATTGCATTGGTAACTGTATTGCATTGACAATCCACAGCTAATATAAAGTCAAGTTAATACAGTTTGCAGGGCTCGAACCAATGAAAGTACTTAAAAATACGGACTATACGGACCAAAAATGAAAAATTACGGACCAATTACTGACAAAAATATAACCAGTTTGAGTCAAATAAGAGAACATTTAACTTTAAATTTTTTCTAAAATTTTTAACTAAAATTCTTCTTTAAATCGATTATTTTTAATAATTTTCGAATATTATTTCATTTTGTTTCGTCTTATTTTGTCATTTTAAATTTGCGACAGTCGTGTTCTATTGGTATCTTTCTTTTCTCATAGCTCTGTCGCCTTGTGTCAAATTTTACTATAGTATCGTTTTCGTTCAGCGTCGTGTGTTCGTCTCCCATCAATGCTCCAGTTATGTTCAAGCATTAAATAAAAGTACACCCCCTAAAACTAGTGTGGGCGTTACCAATGCCCCAAATATGGGAAATACACAAGGAATAAAAAATCAAACGGCAATGATAAACAATAATCCGTTTGCCTTCGACGGAAGTTGTCATAATTGCCGTTTGTCGGGACATCGAGCAGCCTAATGCCCATCGTTAGTGTGTTTTAGCTGCAGGGGTCCAGGTCACTAAGCATATTGGCTGCATCGCCCACGCTGTCAATAACATAGGGCAAGCTTGCATTGGACTTCATAATTATCAAGCACCATCAGAGAATGAGAACATTGTTGAAATACCTGATAGCGAAGAGGAGATCGATGACCGTTTAATTAATGAAGAAAATCCTGATAACAAAGATGTAATAAACAATGAATATGATTTAAAAAAATTAATCGTTAAAGTAAAGCGGATTGTTCGTTTTTTTCGACAAAGCGAAATTGGAACTTCAGAATTGGAAGCACTTCAAATACAGTTGGGTAGAACTATTGCGCTAAAATTAATTCAAGAAGTCAGAACACGATGGAATTCCTGCTATGAAATGCTGGAACGATTCCTTCTTTAGTCCGAGTTTGCTACCGTAATTTTACTTAAACTTCGAAAGCAAAGATCCAGTAAATCGAAACCGCCCAATCTGTTAAATGCTGACGAGTTGGAATCATTAACAGAAATAAAAGACCTCTTAAAACCTTTGTGACAAGTAACAGTTGAATTATCGTCAGATAAGTCAGTTACGCTAAGTAAATGTATTCCGTTAGTTAATGCCATGAAGTGGGTAAGTTTTAAAAAAAAAAAGAATTAACATTTTTTTACTACTAAAATAATATAAAGTAATTATTAGCTTTTTTCTTGCTTTTTAGAAAATTGGTACTTTTTTGCCAACTACACCAATAGCCTTTAACCTAAAGCAAAAAAAGCATAAAAATGTATAGGTATAAATATTTAAAAATTAAATTAAATACTTTGAAAAATCGGATATCCATTTGATCATGTGCCATATATAATAATTAATTGTTATTAGAAATTTAAATAGATTATTAAATTCAATGAACTTATTTGTAAAAGCCGTAGTGTGGCAAACAGGTCAATAACATAAGGATTGCTTCGAGTTCATAACAGTCTTTTTGCATGATTAAGAAATTCCAAATTCTTTCATATTCTATTCCTTCTTCCGATTCTATAATTTAAAATAATTTACAAGCACAAAGTACAAGAATGATTTCACCACTTTTATCCATTAACTCAAAAATTTAAGTGTCAAAGACTCTTTTGGTTCAATGACGAAATTGTAGTTTGTTGACAAAACAGAAACGCAGGCGTTTCTGAAAAGGTCCTTAGCCTCACAGACCTTATTGCCATTACATGATGCAAAATTAAAAATGAGTTAAGCATTTTTGCACAATTAGAAAAAGTGCAATGAAATCATAATTATTCAGTTTCATCAGAACATATTTCCTAATACTTAACCCTTCCCAATAATTAATTCCTGGAGACAGGTCATCGCGAGGTTGACCGTCTGCGAGACTCGGCCGATTCAAAGGTTCGCCACGGGCAATCGAATCCGGGCAGACGTGAAAATCTCAAATTAAAAAATTAATTAATTACATTTAAAAAATGTTAATACTGTTAATTATTACAGGTACATTAGTAGCTGTCTATATTGCTGCTGACAGCAGATGTATGGTTGAAAATCTTCAAGTCAGGGTAGAGCAAGATAATTTTTCTGATAGTTTATGGTCTGATTTTGACGAATCGATTCGCCAAAAAGTTTCAAATGCCGATCACGTCGCTGGTGGTTTGCCTGTCGAATTTCGGCAATACCTTAACACACCATCAGTTAATCGGATATGTAACCCAAACCCTTTACTCGCTTGGTTTTCTATGATAGGGGAACATCCACACGTTTTTCAAGCAGCTTTAAAATACTTACCTGTACTCGCAACGTCAGCGCCGTCCGAAAGGCTTTTTCGGATGCAGGACTGTTAGCGACAAAACAGCGAAATCGCCTTTCAGGGAAATATTTAAACAAATTAGTCTTCTTACTTGGTTTAGAGTCTAAATGGTTTGATTAGAAAAATGGTTCTAAATTTTTAAAAGAAAAATGTTTTTAAAAAGATGTATATATATTTTATAAAAAAAAGTTAACAAAGAATTTTTATCGATAAGTCGAAAGTCGACTTTTTATGAAAACTTTCCAACCCTAGCCATGTGTCGAGATGAGTGGTTATGGCACAGAGCTCAAACGAGAGACGTGTGTTGAAAATAGTGATAAGAGTTCCCCTCACAGACGTGTACTAAAACGAATGAAGCGTGTGGAAATTATCATTCAGAAACGGTGGCTACTAATGCTACAGTTTTAATTTCTGGCGATTGTGTCGAACAGCAAAGTCGAGTACAATATACTAACGACGAAATTATGAATGAGAATACCAATGTGTATACGACTAATATGGTGCGACCATATCAGCTGTAGGACCGCGCCTTGCCAATGAATTTAGGGACAGGTTGGAAGCAGCCGACTCAACTATTGCTAGCGCAATAGGTGGGTCAACTAAGACTTTAGGTAAATTAAGATTGTGGTTGACGTTAGATGGGGTAGCACAGTCCTTTGAATTAAGAGCCGTAGACTCTTTAACGCAAGATTTAATTTTGGGAGTAGATTTTTGCCGGGAGATGGATATGGACGTGCAATTGGGCAAGGTACCATATCATGATGTCACCCATGATGCTATACTGGTTAATTCTAGAAGTAAAAAAATTATTGGAACAGGGTATCATAGAGCGAGCCTTTAGCGAGTGGAGTACAGCTCCAGTGATCGTAAAAAAGGGCGACGGTTCTTTACGTTTGTGTTTTGATTTTAGAGATTTGAATGTCGTGACCGTAAATGTTGCGTACCCGATCGATACCGAGCATTGACGGAATTTTGGATAAACTCCGAAGGGCTTGTTATATCTCTAAAATCGATTTAAAAATGTCCTACCTTATCGATGCCCTGTTTAGACCAGAATTTGAACCCGTTGTTTTTGGTTATCTGGACGACATTATAATTGTCACAGATGATTATGAGGAACATATTAAATGGTTGGGATCTGTTTTAATTCCATTGGCTATCGCTGGATTAGTGGTTCATCCCGCGAAATGCGAATTTGGTTGTTCCAGAGTGACTTACCTTGGTTATGTACTAGAAAGAGACGGCTTACGCCCTGACCCGGAGAAAGTAGCACCCGTTTTAAATTACACAGCACCCCAAAATATTGTCTGTTTTCGGGGTTTACCCGGTGTTAATACAGAATTAATCCTAATTCGGTAGGTCCAACAGAATGTTCATAAATATTATTAATGATTGGACTCTTATTAACTCGGTGTTAACACCGGGTGAACGTCGAAAACAGCCATTAAACAATTGCGTAGATTCTTAGGCATGGTAGTTTGGTACTCGCGTTTCATCCCTAGAAACAGTAAGTTAAAAGTACCATTATTGAGGTTGTTGCAAAAGAACCGAAATTGGGAATGGGGACCAGAACAAGAGAAAGATTTTAATGAGTTAAAGTCCAAATTAAGTTCAGCGCCCGTGTTAGACCAACCGGATCTTTCTGAGCGGTGATTGGTCCTTGGTATTTAAAACGGAAAATTTTGGTTGAGAAGTTCCCCCACCGCACCGTTCCGTTAATAGGCAAGTGTTTGAAGGTCGTTTATACCGTAAAAAAGAGGACTCGTTACTTAGCGTATTCACGGACCAGGATAAGATCTGGAAACTTGACGTGCTCCAAGAATTTAGGGTAAGAGTAATGCAAACTGCACATGCTGAGTTATCTGCGGGCCACTTGGGCACAGATAAAACTTATCATCGCGTAGCCATAGAATATTATTGGCCAGGCATGTGGTTTGATATTAAACAATTTGTTAGGTCGTGTCCAGAATGTCAAAAATTCAAAGTATCACACGATGGACCATTGGGTTTAATGGGCCATAGAATAGTTGAAAATCCTTGGACCGTGGTAGCAGTAGACTATGGAATTTTCCCCCAGTAAAAGACAATGTAAACATTTGGTAGTATTTCAAGACCTTTTTTCTAAGTGGGTTGAAATTAAAGCATTAGGGACCGCGGATGGGAAATCAATAGCTAGGGGGCCGTTCATAAACTACGTCACACTATTTTGCCTAATTTTTCCACCCCCCCTACCCACGTCACAAATTTTACATGCTTTAGCGCCATTTTTTCTACAGAACGTCACAAAAAATGAATTCCACCCCCCACCTCTAAGGCGTGACTTAGTTTATGGACGGCCCCTAGGGCGTTTGAGGAATTGATTGTTTTTCGCTGGGGAACTCCTCGTTTCTTATTATCAGACAATGGTAAAGAATTTGATAATCGTGTCCTCAAATCAACCCTAGAAGAATATGGAATACAACATCTGACTACCCCCCCCCCCTTACCACCCCCAGGCGAATTCGGTGGAACGTAGCAACCGAGTTCTGAAAACGATGATTGCGACCTTTGTGGGACAAGACCACCGTGACTGGGACAAACACATCAATGAGTTTAGAAATTTTGCCAAGAATTTTATTAAAATTTTTGAAAAAAATTGAATTTCGGAGAAGAATTTTATTATTTCTAAAAATAATTGAAATTCTGACAAGAATTTTTAAAAGAATTTAAACATAATTTAATTTCTACGAAGAATTTTATTACTTTTGAAAATAATTGAATTTCTGCAAACATTTGTAATTTCTCTAAAATTCTCCAAATTATGGAATAATAAAAGGAGAAAGTAAACAAGAGGAAGTCTCCAAAAGTATTGCAAAGACGTAGTTGGTAAATGTGTGATAGATTCAGACTACATGTGGGGATTTATAAGAGCCAATAGAATTAAGTAAAAATTGAATACCATAAACGAATTCGTCATAGATAGAGAGTTAACTATAATATGATTGAAAATTAAAATTAATACTCACATCAATTGATTGCCATCGATTTGGAATTGAAGGCCTTTGCCTATCAGTGCACACAACCTTGCGCATTTCTTCAATTGTTGGATCGGAGGGAACCAAATCATAAAATGGAAGTTGATAATCGTCATGAATACCACCAACATTACATCTTCTTGCAATTTCCCATAAAATTAAACCTAAAGCATAGACATCCGCTCGCTTGAATGAATCGAAGTGATTCATGTTTATTGTCTCTTCGAGAACCTGAAAGTCAAAGTAGTTTATAAGCATTAAAGTAAAAATCTAATAATTAAAAACAATTAAATACTACAAAAATATGATTATAATTGAAAACTATACCTCCGGTGCCATGTAGCGCTTTGTTCCAACTCTATTATTAAGTTGAATATCTACAGTGTCGGTAATAACATCATGTCTGACAGCCAGGCCAAGGTCACCAATTGCACATGTTCCATTAGTTTTTACTAAAATATTTTTTGACTTCAAATCTCGATGAGCTATCGCTGGCTTTCCTTGAGTGCCAACAATTTCCATGTGAAGATGTGCCAAACCAGTAGCTATAGACAAGGCCATTCTAATCATGCCATTTGTATCAACTGTTGATCTATTTAGGTAGTCGAAAAGTGAACCTTTCTCATGATAATCAGTTATAAGCCAAAGTTGTGTCCATGTCCCATTGTCTACAATACAAGATTATAAAATTTAGATATGATCTTTAACCCTCCGTCACACACATGAGAAAAAATTACGACTTTACACACGTTTAGAGGGAATCCCTCACCACATTGTAAAATAAGCAACATTACAACATAAACAAAGGAATCAACAAAAATGTAGTTTTAACACAAACTTACAAATATGTAGTAAGTTATTCTAAATTATAAAATTAATAAAATTAATTTTCGGTCTCAAAAATAAAAATTAATTACACGAATGCACATCTTCGAAGGAATTCCACTTTACATATAAGAATAATGTAACATTAACAAATAAGCAAAAAAAATCATTAAACAATTCATTTTAATTATATTTATAATATAATTTTGTCATTAACCAACAGTGGAACAAAAAATGTTTTGAAAACTTGATTTTTTTATTTAACATAACCTCACTTTTTCGAGTTTTTTCTGGCTTTGAAGCTTCATAATTAAATATTAATTATGTTTAAACTAAATGTTTTTTTAGAAATGTGTTGAGGAGTAAATTGTCGAAAGGTATAGAAACTGATTTTATTTTGCAATGAGGAAAACAAAAGTTATTTAAAAAATACTGAAACCGTAGAGGGAATCCCTCCCTAGGTGTGTGACGGAGGGTTAGTAAAGTGAAGAAAACCTTCAGAAGAAATATATAGGGGAGACTGGGTCTAAATGTTAAACTGTCAAAACTGTTAATTTGCATAATCTTCTAAACGGATTAGTTACAGAATTAGAAATTTAATATTAATTATAAATTAATGTCCCTTTTTTATGTGTGACTATGACTCTATAAATTTTTACGTCAGTTTTTGGATTATTTTTATCAAATCAAGTATTTTAGCCTTTTTAGATACCCTGAAAATGTATCTGAAACTGTTTGCATTATATTTGTTTCTATTTGTTTAACATTTCGAATGTTTGTTATCTTGAGTATCTTATTACGAGTATTTAGTTAAGTAGATAGTTTATTTACAGCATCAAGTTATTACTCAGGGGTTTTTGGGTCCGCTGATTACGAATTTGATGTCAATTTTTGGAAATTCAAAATGACGGATTTTTGCCTGCAGTTAGACTACTGTTATTGTATTTTCCAGTATATACCACGAGGAGGTTGCAATCAAACCATAAGGTTACGTGCTATCTGGGTAATGTCAAATTCGTTTTTTGCATGTACTCAACAATTACTTTAGATTGCAAATTTACAATTCTTTCTGTATAGTATCGTTTAACAAGGATTGAAGCGTGACCTTTGCCATTTTTTCAGAAATAGAAATAGTATCTTTTAGGGTGCGACATTTTTCCTTAGCAAGTTTGACTTAATTGTAAGTTAGCCAGATATCTGCACCACATGATTTAACTTCCGTGTGAATACTTTGATACAAATCTTTACTCAGTGATTTCTTTAAAAAAAAATGTTAAGGCTTCTTCTGGTGTTTTTTTCACAATTGAAAAGTATGAATGATGATTATATGTATTCGAGTTAAAGATTACCTTTATTATCTGCAGCAATGAATCCAAGAATATTGTCATGTCGGAGCATTACTGTTTGATAAATTTCAGCTTCCCTAAACCATGATCTTTCTTCACGCGAACTAAATATTTTTACAGCGACATTTTCACCTCGCCATCGACCACGCCAGACTTCGCCAAATCGTCCTTTGCCAATGGTTTCAACTAATTGAATCTGGCGGGCTATACTCCTTTGCACTAGAAGTGGTAGGCCAACTGAAAATGAAAAAGAGACATACCGCTACTTTCACTATATTATTATTTTAGATTTAATAGTTAATAACTGTTTTATTTTACTTACCAGAGCCACTACCACTGGTTGTCATTTCCAGCATGTCTCTAATAGTGACACCTCCAAGAATCGGTCTATCTGGGGCTTCCATAGAGTCATCGGGAAAGTGCCTGGCTGGTCTTTTTCTTAACATATGAACGTGATAAATAGCCATAACGACAAGGCACAATGCACAAATTGGCAAAGCTATTGCCAAAGCCGTTTGCCATGTTTCCCACGGTGTCCTACCTCCGTTGGGTAATACTTTGATAATAAAAAACATTTAATACCATTGAAAAATATCCAAACCAATAAATTCATCAAAATACAATCTTTATACGGCAGAATAAAGACAATTCCTTAAGCAATAAGCAACAATCAAATGCAAACAAGCCGGAAACTTATAAAGCATTTTTATTTTAAAAAAACGCTTTATTTAAAAACAATTCGTTTCTTTTCATGCAAATATTGACAACGTAAAAGAAACACGATCCCGATTAGGCATTTAGTTCAATTTCAGCACAAGCAAATATTAGAATAATTCAAAAAAATATTAAAAGCCTTTAATAAGAATAAAATTGTAAATAATAAAGAAAACAATACAAAGAAGCAGATACTTCCATGCAATTTTTTGAGGATGAAGGTGGGATTGTAAGATATGCGAGAAAGTCCATAAGTTCAATTCTAAATTTTAAATAATTTTTTATAATTAATTGCAACCCATCGGTTTAAATTGATTCTCTGGATTTTCGTACAATCTGTAAGACCTATATGACAATGCGATACATAATGTTAATTTTGTGTCGTCGAGTATTTGAACGTTCACTTCCCCTTTACGTGCTTCCTGGATAACAATATAATTCGATATATCTGAATAGAATTTTGAAGGATGTTGTTAATTGGAAAAATCACACATAAAAATGTTAGCTAATAAACAAAACGAGCATAATGACAAAACAACTAATTTGCTAAAAAAATTATTTTTATTTAAATGTAAAATTTTTTCTAGTTTTCATTTTTTTCGTTTAAAGATTATTATCTTAGTCTTAAATTCTTAAAAAAATTGAAAATTTCATAATAAATCTAAAAAAATTATTATAATTACAGAAACAATGTTCAACTCTAGAATATCAATTTCCAATTATTTACTTTTTCCTTCAAATTACTCAAAACTTTGATTTTTATTTTAATAAAATGACATTCGCATTTGTTTCATAACAATTACTTGAACAATTTTCATAAATAATAAGCAATGCAATCAGACATTGATTATGTCCACCTCGAATCAAAATATAACAAAACATTACCCAACCAAACTGAGATTGATGTGTTTGAAGTATTCGGTTTGTATTTTCAGCCCCTTTTCAACATAAAAAATTTGATAATAAATGCGATTGTGAACGAATGAATGTTAAGTAAATTTCATTGTATCCAAAAATCGAGTGTTTCGAAAAATGGTAAACAAAAATGTTAATTTTTTGAAAAAGGCGCAAAAATTTTTAATTCTTGTACTAAAACACGTATTCCGACAGTAATAAAAGGAAATTTTATTTTAAAATCTCGAGATTTTTAATGTTACTGATTACAAATCTGAAATTATAGTTTTAAAAAATTCAAAATGGTGGATGATTTAATATACAAAATACAAAGGAAAATTGTCGAAATGTTATAAAAATTCAGTTTTCTAAGGATTCTTTAAGTCTTTAATTATAAAAAATTAAAATAGCGAATACAACATGGTGAAAAGAAAAGTTGAATGATATTATTATACTCTTAATTTTTGATTGCTTATTTTGATAACATAAAATTTATAGAACATTCATGCGTCTAGATGGTAGCTTCAAAAAATCTTAATGATACATATTATAAATTAATGTATATTTTACTGACGAGAACATATGTAGTTAATATTTTTTTATAATCTTTTAAACAAATCTTTTGTTCCACAGTGAAACCTCAATTTTTCATCTCTCGGTTATGCGTTACTGACAAATGTTTTATTTATTTATTTATTTATTTATTTATACGGGCCGTGCCCTTTAAATGTAATTCATTTTTTTAAGTTCTTTCTTTATTCTCAGGAAATGCAGTTTGTAAAAGAATTAATTATTAATATTAATTTTATTTTTAAAGTCCCACCTATCTTTTATGTAATAATTGTTTTCAGTGCTAATAGTTTTGTAATATGATGGAATAATTACAAAAAATTTCAACAATTTCAAAACAGAAAAACAGTTTTAACAAAAAGTAAATATTTTCTCATCAGTTTTAATAAGTACATTTTTGTAAAGAATGTAAACATTTTCAAAACGATCAAAACATGTGAAATGAAAAGAACAAATAGTGAACCCAGGCGCTTCACAAAAGCACTATCATGATGAGTGAATCATTTTTTTTTCGTAAGTTCTTTGAATGTATAAAATAATGCACTAGTTTTTTTTAGCACAAAGACTGTTCCTTTAATTGCGCGCGCAATTTAGATTGCTTTCTTAATAGTTTACTCTTACCTAATGTTAATTTTTTTTACTAAAAATCACATTTTCAAAAAAAGATCATTATATTTCATTTATAGAAATTAGAATTTCGTTTTTTGGTATTGAAGCATCTGCTATAAACACATTTAAAACAAATAAAATTACAACATAAATTCTATGCTGTTATGAACATTATGTAGCAGTATTTTAAGAAAATTATTATTTATATAGAAAAATACTGAAGAATCAATTACTGATGAATACATAAATATACAAGTTGTGGTTAGGATAAAAAGTTTTCGTTACTTATACTTATACGAACAGTCTTTGTGTTAAACGTTTGTTTTTGTTGAAAACAAAAATATTCGAAATAAGTTGATTTTGGTGCGTACCACGAGAAGTGCGCTCTGCTGAGAACTTAGGAAATGAAGGCCTTAAAGAACGATTACAGTAATCAATGTGATTACAACAAGCTATCACATATTCATTGCCTTCTGGACCACGGAGTGTCTCATTTGTCTTGCACCAAATTGAATACTCGGAGCTCGGAAAGAACCGCGTCTTATTGTAACACCTGAGAACAATGTTATCTGAAGAATTTCTTATTCCAAGACAAACTTTTAAGAATTATTTATGTTTCTCGGACTTCTCAACGACTTAGCAAAAAAGTAGATAGTAAAATAGACATGTAGGAGTAAGTAAAGATTCATTTCTTTCAATTATCTTCCAAAACAAATATTTTATAATGAACCAATTTTCGAAAAATACTTTAAGAAAAATTTTATTTCTTACACAATATCAAGCTGCAAAAAATTAAACAATAATTCTTTGTGACAAATCATTTTAAAAACGAGAAAGAAATCACTCTTTACAGGAGAAACTGATCATTAAGAGGGTTTTATTTTCATCGTTAACTATTTTTTTTATTTTAGGTATTATTTATTATGAAATAATTTCTTAGTATATTTTCTTAAATACTAAAGAAATTTTTTTTAAACTGATAAAACAAAAAAGCCTCTTAATATTAGGATTTATTCTAAGGATTTGAAAATTATACCGACTTCCGCCGCAAGCTATACTAAAGGAAGTAAATTAAATTAAAAATTAAATTTTATAAATTACAATACCAAAGGAAGAAAAGAAAGTAAAGGCAGTTGAAAATAAGTAATACATGGTATTATCCATAGACATTTTGTCAATAAAACTTTTGTGATTATATTAATGCAACAGTCATAGAAATTACTTAATCGCAAAATTTTTAAAATCAAAATGTTACGGATTTTGTTAAAAGAAATATATGAAAGTATTTATCATTAGGACAGCAGAAAGAAAGGCTAAAGTAATATTAGCGTGTAAAATATTTAGTAGTTCAATCATTAGTTTAAATATTGAATAAATGTCGCACTAAAACTTAATTTTTATTATTTATCCCTTTTGAGGACCAGTGTTGCTTTCAGGCAACATGAATATTTTTGGTATTAACTGGTGCGCATAACTTTTTTGATTGAAAGATTTAATCTAATCTAGCAAAATTTTTATTCCAAATACTGGTCTTCAAATGAAATTGAAAAAAAATGGTCCTCATAGAGTTGTTCCAAATTTTTGAAGCGTGCCACTAATTTTTCGATGGAGATATTTTTATATTGGATATCAATAATTTTATAGTATTTTCGAACCATAATACGACCCCAAAGTTGATTTTGCAAAATTTAAATTTTTTAAAAGTTATTGTTTAAATAATTTTTACGCATTAAATTATTGAAAAAAAAATTTCCTACCGTTCTGTTTGATGGATTTTGATAAAATTTGTTAAGAGTAATATACAATAATCATAATTTCGTATTTTTTCTGGTCAATTATGGTTTCCTGTTTTATCACGAGTATTTTTAAAAAAAAGTTAGTATATTGCATTAAGTCAGAAGTTATTAATATTTTTGTGACCGCGCTCCCTGCACTCCACAGTGGGATATCAAAACAAAATTTGGTTCAAATTAACTTTTAGACAACAATTTTTAAGCCAAATTAAAAAATTGTTTTCCTCTAACTCAGAACTAAATTCTAAAAAGATCTGTGTCAGTCGATTTTATAAATTTTGTTTTATAAATTTTTAATGTTAATGTAAAGTGTAAAAAAAATATTTTTTTAAACTTTTCAGTTTTTTTTAAACAAACATTTTTTTAAATACTCTATATTGCATACACTTTATGTCTGGAAATGTGTAAGTAGTAAAAAAATTGTTTCTAAGATTAAAAATTGTTATAAACAAATTATATAAACAATTACACTCTAGGCGAAGATATGACTAAAAATAATTTATTTGTTTTATAAATTATCTTCAGCTAATTGCAATTAAACTTTCTTTCAATGGAATCTATGTTTTGCAATAATTTTGCTTAATTATTTAAACAATTTTAACAAACAATTGCATTGTAAAGACATTTTTGGGCACAAATGAAAAATTTTTTTTACAAATAATGTTTCTCCCAAATCGCTTAGAAATTGTCCTTATGAAAAAGTTAAATTGTAAATAACTTTATTATTTTTATAAACAATTACACTTTAGTCAAAATTATGTCTAAAAGAAATTGATTTTTATAAATTTACTTCAGCTTATTGTAATCTAATTTTTTATTAATGAAACTGATGTTTTGCGATAATTTTAATAAACAAATGCATTGTAGTGATAATTGTCAAACAGACAATTAATTTTTAAGCAAAAATGTTTGATGAATATAATTGTTTATTCAATTTCTTTATAACAATGATAAATTTATTTAAAAAATAATTTATTTTCGATGATAATCTTTAGGCAGCTTAGAAGAAACATTAATCGTAATAAATTTGATTCATTTATGCGCAAAAATGACAAACATATTATTTTTAGTCCTATCTTCGCCTAGAGTATAATTGTTTATTTAATTTGTTTATAACAATTTGTAATTTTTAGAAACAATTTTTTTACTACTTACACACCCCCAGACATAAAATGTATGCAATATTGAGTAAGTAAAAAAATTTTTGTTTAAAATATATTGAAAAGTTCAAAAAATCATTTTTTTACACTTTACAAAAACATTAAAAATTTCTAAAACAAAATCTAAAAATTCGACTTTCACAGTTCCTTTTAGAACTTAATTCTGAGTTAGAAGGAAAAAAATTTTTAATTTCGTTAAAAATTATGGTCTAAAAGTTCATTTGAACCAAATTTCGTCTATTTATCTCACTGTGGAGCGCAGCGAGCGCGATCACAAAAATATTAATAATTTTTGACCTAATGCAATATACTGACTTTTTTCTTTCTTTAAATACTCGTGATAAAACAGGGAATCATAATTGATCAGAAAAAATACAAAATCAGGAGAAGATGTTTGTTTTATTTCTATTTGTTTATAATAATTGTTGCAGTTTTAAACAAATTATGAACATAATCTAATTAATACTTTTTGTTTGAAAGTATGATTATTTTATATTACTCATACCAAATTTTATTAAAATCCATCATATAGAATGGTAGGAAAAAATTTTTCAATAATTTGATGCGTAAAAATTATTTAAACAATAACCCTTAAAAAATTAAAATTTTGCAAAATCAACTTTGGGGTCATATTTTGGTACGAAAATACTATAAAATTATTGATATGCAATATAAAAATATCTCTATCGAAAAATTAGTAGCACGCTTCAGAAATTTTGAGCCTCAAATGAGTCAATTTCTGCGACAGCTTCAATGGATTATATTTCTTAAAAAGTAATGTTTTATTTACTTGTTAAGATTATACACCCAAACTGTTTCAAAATTGTAGAAAAGTTATTCTAAATATCACTGAATACAGTAAATCGATAATTTCCACAACTTTTTTAATTTCATTATTCTTTTAAAGCTGAACGCAGCAATTGAATCATATATTTGATTTAATCTTCAAGTGGTTAAATTTACTGTTATGTGGTATTAATTTTTATGTTTATATCTAAAAACAACTTCTTGAAAGTTCCAAGAAAAAATTTAAGTTTAGTATTATTGATGATTTAAATGTTGGCCCCTTGAAGAAATGTATCAAATTTGTCAAAAATAAATGTTAGATTCTTATTTTTCTAGATCACTTTAAAAGTAAGATAATTGTCCCAACACGGAAATGTAGACTCCTTCGTAGGTTAAAAAAAAGTTTATTTGGTGTTGAGGAAATGTGCTTGACATATCTAATATTTTTAATACTTTATGCGTCATTTAAAACACTGGAGTTTAACAATTTCTGATTTTAGCACAACTTACAATTTTCAATTTGTATCAAAAACTCAATCATGGAGAATCACAAAGAAGCATATAATATTATTCATCAATTTTTTGTTGTTTTCAAAAGTTTTTAAACAGTTGTGATCAAAACGAAAAAATAATAACTTGATTAAAATATTTTATCATTCTGATTATTATTTATTTCATTCTTATCCTTGTGCAATTTACTTAAAACCTTAATGTTTAATTTCACGATTACAAAATTTTCATAATAATTTTAACGACTGATGATACCTAAAAATAAATTGGTAGTAAATAATTAGTCAGGGTAAGAGGACATGCGTAGAGAAAGCTTCGAAGATTGCGAAGAATAGTATGTGAAATGGGGATGTAATTGGCGCAATATTCTCAAAATTATTTCATACCACATTTCTTTGAAATAAACAAAAACATTAAATAGTTAATTAAAGTAGAATAACAAAGCAGATATACCTGATTGCCTTTGTCAATTTATGTACATTGAAAATATTGCGTCTTGAGTCCAAATAAAATTTGGGACTAATAATTTAACCTTACATTACCCTGTAAAATTCTTAAAGAAAATTAATAATAGAAACAAATAAATATAGTAATCGACAGAAACAAGAAATCTACATATTTACAATAAATTTATTAAATGCGACCATTTGCTTTTAATTGGTGTACAGTGCGTTTGCATGGTCATCTACTTTTTAGAAGTGCATAACATGCTAGTGCCTCACTCTCTCATTCTCTCTTTCGGTTTACAATTAATACATCATAGTGAACAACGAAGAACGAAATTCTAAAACATCTTTATAGGTGGCACGGTCATGCATGTAACGAATTAACATGTATTAAATAAAAGTTCAGTTTTTAAAAATTATTTACATAATACTTGAATCAAATTTATGAACATATCGATACAATGTTAAAAGGACATCTTTTGCGTTGCTCCTCTAGAAAAACCGAACTATATTTATCATATTTTGTGTTATACATTTTTTATCCAAAGTCAGACATTTGCAATGAAATCCCAACACACTTTATATTTTATAAATATATTTTTTTTAAAGTATAAATGATTATTATTTCATTGCAAATGTTTTATGCTTTAAACAAAAAATGCATTAAAGAAAATATGTCGAGGCTACGAAAAAATACAGTTCGGATTTTTTAAAGAAGCAACCGGAAAGATGTTTCTTTTAACATGGAGGTATCGATATTAACATACATGATATTGAGCTTTACTTTTCATTATAAAACAATAAACTCAAAAATCGAATAATTTATTATGAAATTGATTGAGCATCTTCAGAAGAAAA